GCGCGGACCCGAGCGCGGGGCTTCGCGCCGGGGTGAGGAGGTGCGCACGGCGGGGTTTCCGTCCCCGAAGCTCGTCTCTGCGTCGTGGGTGCCGTGTGTTTCCTGAGCGCTTAGGTTTCTTTCAGGTTCTTGTGCGGCAGGTGCAGTGAGCCTCACAGAGGGTGCAGTTTTGCCTTTCCACTGGCTTTTCTTTCTTCCTCTGGCTGTGTTCTGAAAGATGAGATTCTGCTGGGTGGGGGGCTGTGACAGTTCCTTGACCTTTGCCATGTATCACTGTCATATGTTTGATTCCAGAAGCAGAGAGGCAGGAAGGGTGGTTCTGCTCCCAGGCTGTCGCATGGTTCCCGACAGTCAGCCTGCGTGGCCCCGGCCGAGAGCAGGCCCTCCCCGCCGTCAGCCTGTGCAGCTTATGCACACCCGCCGCCCCCCCGACCTGACTCCCCCGCCACCTCGCCGTGTCACGGTCACTCCTCTCCTGGTGTCTCCAGAACTGAAGTCCGAGAGCTGGCCTTCCATTCTCTCACCGCGGTTTGCCCTCCTGTCCTCGCTCCCACTGTCCAGAGCTTGCCCGGGGAGATCTCTGGTTCCCTGACTCCTGTGGTCCCTCCACTTCACTTCTCTTGCTTCCTTAGGTCCTCCCTCTCTCATCCTGTGGTCCCCACCGTCACTCTCCATTTTTTTCCTTTTAATGGCACTTCCACCATCCTGACGGCCCACCCGTCCCCAGCCTAGCCACCTCCTCCATCCCGGGTGGCCAAGTTTGGTGGGGCCGCCCCGTCTTGCACTGACTGGTGCCATTGCCAATGTGTGGATCCCAGTTGCAGTGCTGCCTGGCAGTCGTTTACTTGTCCCTCACCAGCTGCTTTTCACATTATCCTCGGCAGCTCTTTGAGACCTTTGCTACTTTCATCGAGCTTCTTCACCTCTCCTGGCCTCATGCGTAGCTGGTGACCTTGACTTTTACTTCACTGAGAAAATGGAGGCCTTCCATCTTCATCCCCTCCCTCAGTGAAGGGAACCAGCATCCACTTGATTTAATCCTCCAGAGCCACACCCTGGGGACCATCCAGAGCCTTCCTTCTCTCACCTCCCACATGTACGTGGACCCATGCCTCCTTTGTTTCCATAACAAATAAATGACCCCTTGGGGACACCCCCTCTTCTCCCTTCCTGTCATCTTTAAACACAAAAATGTGATGAAGTCACATCTTACTGGACAGTCTTCAGACTTCTTTAAGGCCCAGATGCCTACATGGGCCACCTATCCCCATCCCGCCATTGACACCCTGGCTCCTGCCCCTTCCCTTTCGTTCTGCTTACACCTACCTCCCTGCTTCTTCCAAATGCCCCTCCTCTGTCACTCCTGTCCATCCCCACTTTGCTCTGCCGGATGCCCA